TGGCACAAATAATATTGCGAACCCCTCCTACATATTTGTAGGAAAAAAAAAAAAAGACTCATGAACCCGGAAGCGCTAAGTGACCTGCTTAAAGTCTCAACGTGGCAACCCAGCCAGGCTCAACTTGTGCTCCTCTGCTTTATAACATTGCATTCTGACATGTTCAGCTTAAGGTTGGAAACTCATTTCTTTTCATCTAAATTTCAAATGAAAATTTTAAAATTAAGCTTTTTTTTTTTTTTTTTCCCAAGAGAACTGGGCTTGAGTTGTGCTAAAGGGAATTAATGCCAAGAAAGCAAGGGCTGGGGTTCTTTCCTTGGAATGTTCGAAGCTGGGGAAGGAAGCGAGCTCTGGGCCCTGTCTTTGGGTGCGGAAGTGGCAGTGGAAGTCTCTGCAGTGAAGAGCTAAGAGAAAGACGGGGCCAAGCGCTGAAAACTCGGGGGCAAACATCGCGTGGCCTGCCGCCGCCGCCGCGCATCTCATTTTCAGCCTTCTTTATTTGCACACCCAGTTTCTGGAGTGACAAAACTGTCACCAAAAAAAAAAAGTGGGGGGGATCTAATAGCAGCCGTTGATAGAGAGCTTGAGCAGATGGGCATATTGCTTTCTCCTTCGTGAGTGGACCGGGTCCCTGTACTGTAGCCCTCAATGAGATGGACAGCTGCAGCGGGGAGGTGGGGGTGGAGGTGGAAGAGGTGGGGGGGAGGTGGGGGATGGGGTGGGGGGAATATATGCTATCTGTGTAGTATGGCAGTCTGTGTTCAAAATGAACTAGACACTCCCAAGGAATGAAAAGTCCACTTAAATGATTCACTGGTCATAAGATTACACTAAAAAAAATAAATAATAAGACTTGGTTTCAACTTTGTATAGAAGGATGTTGTCCTATTTGAAATTAAGTGTGACCTCAGAGCTAATGATGCAGTTGGGTGGTAGAGCGCTTGCCTAGTGTGGAAGAGGCCCTGGTTTCATCACCAGCGCTGCCCGGAAAAGCATAAGGAAATGAAGTATACACCCAGGAATCTCTGTTCACCTCTTCATCTCCTGGCCATTTTATGTATTATTTTGGTGTTCTTGGAGATGGCAAATTCCAAATCAGCACATTTTTGTACATCAGTTACAACGGTGCCGAACAGGTCGTCTGGGTCCTTTCTTGCCCCTCCCCTCCCCCAGCGCCCTGGGCCTGTTTTCCTGAATTAGAACCAGCATCAATCCCCAGCCTTTCACCCCCACTGCCCTGACAAGCCAGGGTTCTTCCCCGGTGCTGAATTTGATAGTAGCACATGGTGCTGTCTTAATACCCCATTTGGATAATAATAATAATAGCACTTCTCACCAACACTACCATGGTGCTGACCTCAGTGTCCAATATAAATTCTTTCTGAATAGAACGGAACACCTAAAATAGAAGTTCCTTCTCTGGGAATGGGATCAAGTGTGAAAAGTGATTTTTTTTTTCCTACCATTTGTTTGCAGAAACCTGCCAGGAAGGAGCCTGTGGACTGTAAGGCAGGGACCACTACTATCCATGTGGGGAGGAATGCTCTCCTTCCTGGCACCTTCCCCGTTGATCTAGGCCCATCTGGGAGAGGAAAGGAATTTGGTCCCCAGAGTACAATTTGCAGGTTGGCCTAAAAACTAGGCCACTTAACCCCTTGCATCTGGCCTGCTTTGCCACTTCTGCACATTTGCTCAGCGGGGAGTCTTATCTGATTTGGCTCCCCTTTGCAAGATAATCCTCTTTTTTGTTTCACTACCCCCCTCCTCCTCCACAGCACCAATATCGGTAGAACAAGCTTTGACACATGATCCAGCCACTCAATCGGGATAACATGCTTCCTGCTTCAGGCTTGTAACCGTGGGGTGGACCACTGGGTTTGGACTTGGGCAGCTTGCTCATCAGCTCTTTGCCTTCTCCAAGTCAGTCACCTTCCGGGGACTTCTGTGTTTCTATAAGGGATTTCCAAGTTGGGTAAACACTACCCACAACAAATCAACTCACTGAATCATTAGGAGAATGATAATAAAAAGCAACACACTTAAAGCATTTTACAAATATTCCAAAGAGGCACACAATTTGCAGCAGACACTGGGTTTGTTGCCCAAATCTTTTGACTATAGTCCTACACTTTTAACGAAGAGATCTGTGGTATCTTAGTGTGCCTTCTAGTAATAAGATTAAACACTATGGCCAAAACCAACTTGGGGAGGAAAGGATTGAGTTCATCTTACAGCTTATAGTTCATCATGAAGGAAAGTGAAGGCAGGAACTCAAAGCAGGAAAGCAGAGGCAGGAACTGAAGGCGAAACTAAGGAAGAACACTGCTTACTCACTTACACCCCATGTAGCCCAGGCTGGCCTCGAACTCACAGAGATCCACCTGGCTCTGCCTCCCGAGTGCTGGGATTAAAGGCGTGCGCCACCAATGCCCGGCAAGCCTGCTTTCTTAAAGAACCCAGGGCCACCAGCCTGGGGATGGCACCACTCTCCGTGGGCTGGGCCCTCCCCCATCAATCATTCATCAAGAAAATGTCCCACAGATTTGCCTATAGACCAACCAGATGGAAGCTGTGTGTTTCAGTTGAGGTTCCCTCTTCCCAGATGACCCAAGCGTGTGTCTGGTTGACGAAAAACTAACTAGCATATGTAGCAAGTAGCAGTTTTCCTGATGGATGAAACAGACTCTTGGAGGCACACACAACATACCCCCGGACAGTTAAGGCAGGAAGGCAAGACTTGGAGGTTGGAGAAAGTGATGCCTGCTCCTCATCACTCTGGGTTGGGGCTAAAAAAAAACTAAAGAAAAGCGTGAGCAGGCTTGGCTGGGGCTTCTGAGGGCCCTTAGACTTTGGAAACCTATATGTAGCAGTCATCTTTCAGAATCGGTCTTTAACCCAAAATTCATTCCTTTCCTTTTGAATAGACTATTGAAGTCAACACTTTTAAACAAGATGCTGGCTTGGCCTGCAGGAACCCTTATTGCCTGTTTTCTAGATGAGGAAGGACAGTCTTGGATCTGACTGGGACTATAATACAGGGTGTCCTTCTAAATTGGTTTCCACTTTACCAGCGAGATAAACTTTGCACTGCAGATTCTTGTCGGCGATCCCATGATGAGTAGACTCTTCTAACACATACTATGGCTGAACTCAATTAGATTAACATTTGAAAGCAAAACCTGCAAGACCATAGTCACTCTATATTCTAGTCAATTTTAGTTCTGTCTGTTCTTTCTAATTTAATCAGAAGTGCATGAGTCCAAGTGCCAGAGCTGAAATGAAAATGTATGTGTTCCATCCTGTCTTTTTATGGATGGGAACGTCTAAGTGAGCTGCTGGTACAGAGCCCAGGCCTCTGACTCCCAGTGCTGAGTTTTAGACCTGCTGAGGCTAAGTACCCAGGCTGTTTCCTCTCCAGAAACTTGTTATACAAGAAAGGATGGATGCATGCAGTACAACATCTCCAAGAAGTGTTTCATGGAAAAGAAAACCCTGGTCTTTCCTAGAAAAGAGCATGCTTGGCTTTTCTCTTTTCATCCTAAAAACCAAACAATCTGCAGTATACTGGGAGAACTCAGAGCCTACAGCTCAGGCCAGTTATGCAGAACCATTTCTTCCAGGCCCTTTGGTGGTCTCTAGTCTGATGTCCTCATCACTTACTTTAGCTTGATCTGATAAGCCGTCTCAGATCCCCTAGAAAGTAAACAGGTTGTAAATCCCAAACAAATAAAACTGCTGGGGCCTCTGTAAGCCTGACTTTGGGCTCCTGTCAGGATAGTGATCTGTAGTCCTGTCTCTCAACTTCCTGCTAAGGACTGCAGCCAGTGACTCCCAGAGGACTCCCGAAGCTCTGGCTTACATCTCCTTGACAGCTGTGGATCAGCAGACAAGCAGTGTTCCAATTTGCCTTTCTCTAAAGGTGAAATGGGTGCAGACAGATATTGGACCCATTAGAATATATTTTGTCATTAATTTGGTCAGACATCCAACCTTCTGTCCTCTTAATGCATAGGAGGTTGGACAAAATGCTGCTGGAAGTTGTGAGAATTATCCCCCAAATATTGTGAGACTGAAAAAAAAATCCCCCCACCTAACCACTCTTTGTTAATCTAGTTCCCCTGTGGAGCATCAAAGGACTAAGTAATACTTTAATTTCTACTGGCCGGTGTCTCCAAATCGGTTACACAGTGGAGCAAACTGGGAGGCCTTCGAAACAGGATGCTGGGGCCTCCCCTCCAGATATGGTGATCAGTGGCCTGGGCATGGGGTCCAAGGATGTTAAAGTGAAGCCAGCGTTGAGAACCATTTTTCTAACTGTGGCTTCAGTCAGTCGTAGCTTTTCTACAGCATGTTGCCATTGTGTGGGTCTCTGGCATCATCGACTCTGTCGTGGAACATGGAGATAGCTTCCTAACTGACTTCCCTGACCCCTGTCCCTTCTGAGCTCTTTGTCTGGGACGGTTTCTCCATTTATAACACGAGTTTGGCTTCTTAAATTTTTTTGGCCTCACGTGCCAAAGTGTCCCTCTCTGCCTTATGCAAATCCTCTCCATTTGCATAATGGCAATCACCGGATTGATTAAGGAGCTGCCGCGTGTCAAGCTTTGCAGCAGACATAAATACAGTGTTTCATTTGATCCTCACAGCCACCGCAGAGGTAGGTGGGAGCGTTATCCCCAAGTCACAGGGAGGAGATTGAGATGTCCAGAAGTGAAGTCAATTGCCCTGTCTTAGAGACAGTGTGTGCCGGAGGCAGAATGCAGGTCTATCTGTGTTCTTCACGGGTCCAGTGTTTTAGTCAAAGACAGAAGATGCGTGCTTAGGTTTGTAGCCTCTCCTTTCAGAGACCTTACTAAAATATCTGGAAGGATAAAAAGAGGCTTCTACTTGCAAGTATAAAGAGGGGAGGGGAGGGGACACCAGTTGAAATACTTCAAAAGACAGAAAAGGGATGGAGAGGTGTCTTGCATAACCATCCAGGGTGCCTGCATGTCTTACAGGACACGTGGAATGGGAGAGGAGAGAGTGAGTTAGTCCTGGAGAATCCTGGAGAAGCTCACCAACAAGGTGGGCTAGTGCCGCAGAGAGCGTGGGAGGCTGAGTCCATGGGGAGTAGTGGATCCACCTTGCGTGGAACCGGGGCATAGAACACTGGGGCAGATACATGATTACCCCGGGCAGCAGGCAGATGTGTTGTTCTGAGAAATGGTTGAGAAGAAGGGCAGGATTTGGAGACCACATGCACTGCATCATGGGAGCTAGGTGGGTGGGGGGAGGGGAAAGAAGGGTGGGAGGGGGTTATATTGAGATGTAACTCAGCTCCTAGCAAGCTTGCCCAGCATGCACTAGCCCCTGAGTTCAATCCACAGAGCCCCAGAAAACCAGTGTGGTGACACATGCTTATAATCCCAGCACTCTGGAGTCAGAAGCAAGATATTTGGCTTTTAAGGGCATTCTCGGCTATGTTGTGAGTTCAAGGCCACCCAGGCCATACATAGATGCTGACTGGGGTGAAGGGGAGAAGAAGAAAAGAGAATGAATGGTCAGATTGACCTGTGGGTGCCTTTCACTCCACACTCCTAGGGTGAGTGAGACTTTCAGAGAGAACAGAGGATCTACGGAAGAAGCCAGTGTCTTCCTGGAAGAGAGCACTGAGCTACTGCTGTGTGACAAAACTTTCCCCTGGGACACACTACACAATGTCTGCTCGTCCCAGATAGAGAGCCCTACGACAGACCAAAAGTATGGCTATAATCAAGGTCCAATTTGGTGAACTGATGAGTTTTATTGGGTGTTGTTTACAGGAATGTAGGTGAGGGGTTACTTGTAGGAGCAGGAAATACTCAAAGACAGCTGCATTACCAAGGCCCACCCCAGCACAGGTGACGGTTCACAAAAGCTGGGAACCTGGATGTAGACGAACAGTCTTATTAAATAAGAAACACAGAGCCAAACGCAGAGTTAAAAGCCCAAGAGGTCAGAGCAGTAGCTGAGAGCTGAGACTTAAAACCGCCTTCTTACCCTTTCTGCCTCTGCTGTCCTTCAGCAAATCCAACCAGTGCGCCACCACAACTGGCCGAGTGTAGCTCGGGCCTGAGCTGGGGCCCGCAAGGCCACAGGCAAGTGGCTTTTTCATGAATTCGTACCACGAACGTTGGGCACCAGATGTAGCAGGAATCTTAAGAGGTCTTACTAATAAAATCAAACGTGGAGCCAGGTATTGGGGTGAATGCTGAAAGATCAGAGAAGCAGAACGAGTCACAGCTACCTCACTTCACCAATTCCTCAGCTGATCCTGTTTTCTCAGACTGGAAGCCTCTGTGTCCTCATCCGAATGGGTCTTGGCTGAACTGTGCTGCTAAAAGCCTAAAAGCTTAACCAGCCTAGTTCCTGGTCCTCACATCTTATGTACCTTTCTGCTTCCTGCCATCACTTTCTGGGATTAAAGGGCGAGTCACCAAGCTTGGCTGTTTCCAGTGTGGCCTTGAACTCACAGAGATCTAGGTGGGTCTTTGCCTCTGGAATGCTAGGATTAAAGGTGTGTGCGCCACACCATTTTCTGGCCTCTATATTGAGTGGCTTTTCTGTTCTCTGACCCCAGATAAGTTTATTAGTGTACACAACATTTTGGGGAACACAATACCACCACACCTGGAGCACACAGCACAGCCTGCAGGCAGCTCAACAGGTTGGAGAGTGTCCTTTCCAAGTGACTCAAGTTGTTTTAAACTTCCTCCAGGCAGCTCAGCAGGTTTCTGCTTCTTCCAGGCATCTGGTTGGGTCTCAGAGTCTTCTCTGCAACTTGGCTTTGCTGTTCTGAGAGGGACGTTCGGCTTGTGTGGCTTACTTTGTCAGGAAGGGGCCTAGTGAATCTGGTCAGCTTCAGGAACTTCCTGAAGCCATTTTGAGTCATACCTTTTTGCTCAAGGAGCTTCCTGGGAGATGGAATGTTTCAATCTTAGTGTTTCAATTTTGGAAACCGTTACACAACAGCTACACATTTTGGAGTTCTCTGAAAGATAGTTTCTTTGCTAATCACCCCGTGCATGATGTGGGCTGAGGGAGCATAGGTCTGTGCTGAGGGAGCATGGGTCTGTGCTGGTTTCCTCTTGCTGCTGAGGAAAGTTACCACAAACAGAGAGGCCTCACATAATACAAATGAGGTGCTTGTCAATTCTTTGGATCAGAAGGGAGACAGATCTACTGGGCTGGCTTCCAAGTCTTAGCAGGACCATGATCTTTTCTGGAGACTTCAGGGGGACTCACATCTGTACCTTTCTCCAGATTCCTTGGCTGCAGTCCCTGGCTGAAGGTCTCCTCCCTTCATTCCCAAGCCAGCAATAGCTGTTAAGTCTTCACACAGCCTTCCTTCGGCTCCTTTTCTGTCTTCTTCGTCCTTGGAAGGACCCTTGAGGCCATGTTGAGACCTTGGATGATCCCAGTCACTCTCCGTAATAAAGACAACTGACTTACAGCCTGGTTCCTCCTGGCATCTTACTCTTTGCTGTGCCCTTTGATATATTCATAGGTTCTGGACATGAAGGTGTGGACATCTTTGGGATGGGTTGTTAGTCTGTCTTCCACACTTTCCTAACATGAAACAGTAAGAACAAAAACAAGAGAAGCCTTAAGAACTTGCAATAGCTTAAGAGAGGTCTCAGGAGACAAAGTGACAGAATTTACTGTGGAGTCCTGCAATAGACAGAAGGCAGCAAACAAAACCCTGGAGAGCTCGGCAAAATAAGGGTTGGACAGAGGATATATCCATGTACACTCATTAATTATGACAAGGTACAATATTGGTAAAATGTTAATGCCATTCATTTACTTTATAAGTAACTAGTAGGTAGACAGGATGTGTCATAAAAAGAAACCTCATTACTTCCTTAGACATTTTCTAGAAACCTAAAATAAAGGAGTTATTCTTCAGAACAGGAAAAGAAAGCTTGTCCCTAGGGTTAGAGTAGAAATGACAATGTAAGAGAAGTTTCTCATGATCTTCTTGGATATTAGATCATTAAAAACATGTGCATGCATTATCCTAGTAAAATACCCAAAAAGAAAAGAATATGAGTGTAGGAAACCTCTGAATTGGCTCAAGACACCCCAAGACCAAATTCTCAGCACAAAGGAGATTTATTCGTCCCAGGGAGACAGAGGATGAGGGAGAAGGGGAAGAGAACAAGAGAGAGGAGGAAGAGGTATTTGTCTGGGAGGGACAGAGGGCTGCCTCTGGATAGAGAGGAGACAGACGAGGCCCATAGGATGATGACATTTTATAAAGGTACAAGGGGAAACCCCTTGTTAGGATGAGGTGTTTAATTTTAATTGAGCAAGTTAATTAGGGTAGCTAAAGGGGGATTTTGATTGCTGGACTTCAATTTGGTAGCTGGACCTTGGTAGTCAGCCTAGGAGGAAGAAGTGGCCAAATAAGGGAATAGGCTGGCTTCAGGAATGTAATCTAACAGTTCTTAGCAAAGCAGAGGGAATGGAGGAGAAGGGTAAGGCCCTCCAGAGCCATGCTCACCATGCTTGGGCTGGCCAGAGTCCCTCCAGTGGGTAGGTAGGTTGTCTTCTGTACTTGTTCTTGTGATGTGACTTCTCATTCCCACCAGCAATTTTTTCTCAAGTCTTTAAGACCTAGGTCTAGCTGAGCTTGGTGATAAACTTATCATCCTAACACTGAAGCAAGAGCATCCTAAGTTTGAGGACACCTGGGCTATACATTGAGACGTGTGTGTGTGTGTGTGTGTGTGTGTGTGTGTGTGTGTGTGTCTGTCTGTCTGTCTGTCTGTCTGTCTGTCTGTCTAGATCAAAAGCAAGAAGACCTTGTGGGGTCTGTGCCAACTCCTCCAAACATATTTAGTGACCTGCCCCCACTTTAGGAATCCTTCCATCTGCTCTTATCATTATGATGAATATGTCACATGGCATCATTATTGGGTGTTCAGTGTCTGCCTCCTGGAGCAGAATGTGATGAACTCTTTGAAGGAAAACACTGTCTGATTCATCTTAATGTCCCCAAAGATGATGCAGGACCTGCCTCATAACAGATGACTAACAAGTTATGCTGGCATGATGATTGAAGAAATGAGTCGGTAGATGAATGAATGAATTAATTCATGAGGGAGACAACCCAGAGGAGAACCAAGGGTTCATTCATCATTCTTTACCACCATGGGTTTAGCAAAGGTGGTTGTACTATTCTTGTTAACTGCAAATGTTATGAACACGAGATCAGATCAAGACCTGGTTTTGCACATGCTGAGGGAAGATAAGCTGGTGCCTAAATACTGGACTTGTCTGCAAAAGAGATCTATGAATGTAATGTGCCCTAAAAACAAACTAGTCGAGAGATATCTGTGGTAAACAGGCGGAACTGGAAGTATAGCTCAGTGTCTGTCTAGTATGTGCAAGGCCCGGGCTCAAACCCCAGGTACACAAAACCTTGAAAACAAAAACAAAACCCCACAGTAGCTGCAACTCACAACACTGCTACTGGGAAATATGTTACTTTATCTACTGAGAGGGTAGGACAAGTAATTTGTGGGAAATAGATTGATTGATATAAAATACATATTTAAGACAAGGACACAATTAAATGTGATGAGTCAGTCTAGTGTAGAACACAGGAGATCCAAACAGAAAGTAGCCCTGGATAGCAGGGTGTTATTGGTTTGTTTGTTTTTGTTTGTTTGTTTGAGACAGGGTCTCACTGTGTAGCTCTAACGGACCTGGAACTCTCTATATAAACCGGGCTGGCCTCAAACTCACAGAGCTCTGCCTGCCTCTCCCCGTGAGGTACTGAGATTAAAGGCGTGTGCCACCATCCCCTGCTAAGCAGTGTTTTTTAAACCCTACTCCACCCAATCATATTTCTATAGTGTCTGGTGCTTCTTGGAGAATGAGATTCGAAGTCTTCACCATGCTCTTCGAAAGCATCTACGATGGGCTCATCTTCTTCCTATCATCGGGTTTCTTGAAGGCTGCTCTTCCTTTCTTGGCCCAGGGAGCCTGAGGTTTTCTCCCTCTTCCTGACCTGCTCTTCCCTGATCTTTGTCTCAGCTCAAATGTCCCTCTTCAGGGAGATGCCCCCAAGCCATCTTCTCTAAAATAGCACCACCTTCAAGTTACTCCTTCTTACATCACCCAGTGTCCTTTATGGCCTGTGTCACTGTTGGCAATTATTATGGTTATTTGCTTGTTTTTCAGATCTTAGCTTTTATTTGTTTGTTTGTTTTCCTGCTCTGCTAAGAGAGAACTTACCACCTCTGCCGCAGACAACTAGCGTGTCCTAGCCTCCAAGTGTAAAGACTGGACCAGCCAGGACCCTCTGCTGGGCCATTGTAAATGGAGCAGAGAGCAGGAGGTGAGCAGCTCAGCTCAAAGTTCTAAAGGCAACGGCTAAGGAACAGGTAAGCAGGGCTTTGTCTTTTTTCTTTTTCTTTTTTCCTCTTTGGGCAGGAGCCAGCCTCCCAGCAAAGCCATAATTTGTGTCCTCACATGTGATTTTCAGACATTCATGTTTGAATGCCTTTCCAGGGATGCTTTGATGCAAAACCAGCCCACCTGTGTGGTCTGCAAGATGTTTGCCTGGAGACACGAACAGGGCCCAGAGATGGTTTCTTGCCCTTGCTTTCTCTCCTTGCCTTTTGTCTGTGGGTCTACTTTGGCCGCCCTGCATTCTAAGTTGTGCTATTTCTGTGGGCAGTAGAGAGAATTTCTGGCCCTGCTTCTGCTCTCAGGAAACATGCCTTCAGGCGGGTCCCAGCCAATAGGCATTCCCAGCTGAGCAGAAGGATAGACATCTTTATGCGTCTCAACAAATACTGTTTTTTAGCCCTTTCAATGTCACTTGCATTGTGAGGTATCCACCAGAGAAGACTACTCAGACAGGGCTCAAGCCAACAGGAAGTCTTTATCAGCCCGGTGGTGACTACGCTGGATGTTTGGGACCCCAGTGCAGTCCCGAGCCTTGCCCAGGATGAGCTTCTAAGCACAAAGTCCACATCCTGGGTTGACACACCTCAGTTAGCAAGAACCACAGCCAGAAGCAGAGCTACAGAAGCCGAAAGGCGGGATTAGTACAGCTCTGAGACTTTCCCAGAGCTGTGGACTTCGATGGACTGGGTCTTTGTTCTCCTTTTGGCAGACATTGCTGCCTACCTGCTGGGTTCCAAGGCCTGAATGGTACTTTGGTTACGGCGTCAGTTGTGCCAAGGTCTGGGGGTCTGTTACACTTGGCCTGCCTCTGCAAAAAAAGAAGGGGGAAAAAACCAGAAAAAAAAAAAAGGAACAGGAAGGAAATAATTCATAGTTTAAATGATGTTACACATTTGGGGTTCAGGAATTGATTAGGGACTACTGAAAACCTACAAGGCAGTTTTTAATTTGTAATAAGACTGCAAAAAATATGAGCCAATATCAGACTCAAAGGGATTTAAAGGACAGAGTAAATAAATATTGGTAATGATCAGCTTATACAAATAAAGATATTCAGAGTCAACTTGTTTTTTAATATCATCATATTTCTAGTCACCTAGAAGCTAGTGTGTTAGAAACGTAGATTGACGGAGCCAATGTCATAACAGTTTTGCAGAATAATTAGGTATTCTGAATATTAGAGAACTTTCTGGAAAGAATGTAGCTCACATACGAGTCATCAAAATGACCACCTTCCTGATCCTAATGAACCCTTGATTAAAAATTTCCAAAGAAGTGTTTGAAGGAAATGTTTCTTTGCACCAAGGTGTTTTTTAACTAGTCTGTATGTTTTGAAAACTGTACCAGATACCAAAGGGCCTGGAAATATCCTATCATTGGTAACATGGGCATAATTGCTAGGTTGATTAAATATTTCAGCATTAAAATGGCGGGAATGGGGGTTAAATGGACATGTAAGGAAGTATTTTTTTTTGTTTGTTTGTTTGTTTGTTTTTCGAGACAGGGTTTCTCTTGTGTAGCTTTGCGCCTTTCCTGGAACTCACTTGGTAGCCCAGGCTGGCCTCAAACTCACAGAGATCCGTCTGCCTCTGCCTCCCGAGTGCTGGGATTAAAGGTGTGCACCACCACCGCCCGGCAGGAAGTGTATTTTAAGTAACATGAAAACATCTACAACATAGCTTTACACAGCCTTCCCAATGCTGTCTATCCCTGTATTGTGCGTCTTACGTGTGTATCCATCTTCCTGTAGGTGAGCACATGGAAGCTAGGTGGAGAGTTAGTTGTCGTTCTTTATCCCTCCCCACCTTATTTTTGAGACAATGTCTCACATTGAACACGACCTCAATTATTTGGTCAGACTCGATCGATGACCAGTAAGCCCCCAAATCCTCCTGTCTCCACTTCCCCAGTGCTGGCTCTAGAGATGTGCACTGTCCTTTGTATGTGGGCCCTGGAGAGTCAAACTCAGGTTCTCGTGATTGCAGGGCAGCGCTTTACCAACTGAAATGTCTCCCCAGGTCCCAGGGCAGACATCTTAAGAACATAATCTTGTAAAACCTGAGTTATCAGCAGCAACCCTTATGGAAACGGGAGTGCCTTAGATATAAAAATATAGAATTGTCTTGTTATTTACTTATCTTTTATTGTGATGTTGATCAAATATATTCTAATGGAAAATTCCAGCAAACAGAATTTAAAAATAAACTATTATCTCCAGCACTGTAATTTCCCCTCTGCATGATGAGAATGAGTAAGCATCCTGGTGGACTTCTCCCTTCAGGAAAGTGCTTGCTCGGTCTACTAACAATGTTGTAGGGAGAAGCCCTGGCAGAGGGGGAGAGCGGCCCTCTGCGATACTTTCATCGTCTTGTACCTTAGTGACTGACTCCCGGTGTTCAGCAGCAAAGATGGTGTTTTTTTGGGCTTCCTCTGCATGTCTGCGTATTATGTGGCAGCATTCTGGTTAAGAGCGGGCAAGCAGACAGGCTAGGCATGGGGTTTCTCCTCGGTTTGTTTCATCTCCCTGGAAAGCAGACATCGTGGCTGGATCTCCAGCAGTTCTGTGGAATCACGAGGTAACACCCAGTGCTGAGAGTGGAAGGTAACATGGTAGAAACCTGTTTCCCTTGTACCTTGCAAACAGTTTGAACCTGAGCTATAGAACTGCAGGAATTTTCCTGAGTGAATAAACTCTTGTGTGTTCAAACTACTGCTAATATTAGCTCTTGCACTCCCAGAGAAAGTGTGTCTTAAGTAATATAGTGGCCTTTGTCAGTTTACTTGATAGTCTGTAGCCTTCTGAATTTAAAAAGAGCAAGTTAGAAGAGATTGTGTCTGAAAATTTTCACTGCCTTGACATTTCTTAAACTCTAAAATGGATACCTCCTATTGTATAATAATGAATCACCATTCCTCAAGGTGTTTCTGGAGATCTTGTGCATACACACACACACACACACACACACACACACACACACACACACATGCACACGCACGCACGCACACAAGCATAATTTATAATTATTTCCCTTTGTACTCACTATTAATAGTTCAGTGTACAAAGCCATTCATTGTCACATATATGTATATTACTTGTACTTTTTTGTAACCTGTATTTTCATTCATTACATTTTGCATGAATTTCTGGTGCATTTCAATGTCTTTTAAATACCATTTTTGTTTGTTTGTTTGTTTCTTTCTTTGTTTTTTGTTTTGACAGGGTTTCTCTATGTAATAATCCTGGCTGTCCTAGAACTTGCTTTGTAGACCTGGCTGACCTTGAACTCACAGAGATCCTCCTGCCTCTGCTTCCTGAGTGCTGGGATTAAAGATGTAAATATCGTATTTAATGAATTCACTCAATTCCGTTTCATAGATGATCTATCTTACTGAAGCACACCAATCCCACATTTGGACACTTAAGACATCCCATTTTTTGTTATTGTAAATAGCCTTCTTATGTATTCCTTTTCAACCCAATCTTTGTGTATTGTAGTGCCCTATTAGCTCAGTTAAAACAGAGACAAAAATGTATTGTCCTGAGTTCCAGACCTTTGCTGATTTATTTCGCTTCCATCTCTCTATTGCCAATGTAAAATAGTATTATATCCTCTGCAAGTTTGCTAACACTGCATGGTCTGTCCATTTATTCAAATCTTTGTCTATGTCTCATAAATGTCTTATTGTGCGGCTAAAGATCTATGTAACAATATGTATAATTTAAACTATTTCCAGGTGTGAAATTTGGGGGCATAGTTACCTTCACATTGCTCGACATTCAATAGCATCATTTATCTCCAGAACTTTTCACCATCCATACCTATTTAACAATAGTTATCCTATCTCACACCCCAAAGTCTGTGACAGCACTGTATGTCTCCACTCATTTGCCTGCTCTGGGTATTTCATGAGTGGAGTTGAAACAGTGTCTTCTGTAAGTATTTTGTGACTGGTACCTTTGGTTTAGCACAGTGCTGTAGCCAATGGTTGTTTTCCTTTTGGAGGCTGAACATAATATCTATGTGTGTATGAGTCTGGGAGTATATATTCACGTATCGCGATTTTACCCATTTGTCCATTATTGCTGGCTGCTTGGATTACGAGCATGTGTTGGCTGTTGTGAGTAATGTGCTGTGAGCATGGGTGTATAAACATGTTTGCTTGCATCACTGCTTTACTGAGTCAGATAGCAAATTCGTGTTTAGTTTTTAAGGACCCGCCATGCTGATTTCTATCACCTCTGCCTCATTTCACACTCTTATCCACACAGGGTGGTTCAAGTAGCTCTACATCCTGGTCATCATTTATTTTCCATGTTTTTAAACAGTAGCCGTTCTGTTGGGTGCAATTGTGATTTTAATTTGCATTTAAAATGGTTAGAGACATGGTTCTCAACCTGCGGGTAGTGACCCCTTGGGAGTCACATATGAGATACTTGCAATATGGTTCATACAATAGCCAAATTACAGTTATGGAGTAGCAACAAAATAATTTTGTGGTTGGGGGTCACCACAACAGGAGGAACTGTATTAAAAGGTCGCAACATTAGCAAGGTTGAGAAACTCGAGGACAGAGCATCTTTCCACACGCTAATGGCCATCGTAGTATGCCTTCATGGAGAAATGTCTAGTCAAGGAACCTACCCATTTTTAAAATTGAATTACGTATCTGTTGGTGGTGAATTATAGTATAGCATATTATGGGTACTAACCCCTGACCTGTCACACTGTAGCTATTTTCATACTTCATCCTTGCCCTTCACTCTCCATTGAGTCATGTGATGCATAGAAATTTTGGATTTTGATCAAGTGAAACTTACGCATTGTCTCTTTTGTTGCTTGTGTTTGGGGGTATTCGCTATGATTTGAACGTACAGTGTGCCCCGTAGGCTCACGAGCTGGGTATTTGGTCCCCATATTTTGGAATGTTTTGAAGCAGGGCCTAACGGGAGGAAGTAGGTAGGTTACTGATG